ATCTCTTTCTACTCTGTATGATCGTTTGACCCTCCCAAGATCCTCCAATTGGGAGCAAATAGTGATTTAACTTAGGTTTAGCTTAGGTTGCAGTGATCTGAGCACCTGAGGATTGTCAGACTGCAATAGCTATTTTCATTTGAGGACAGATCAGTTACAGAATCTGAACCTTCTCATTCTTCTTTCTCACTATAACAGTGTTTCTCAACCTTGTCAACTTGACAGCATTCGCTGGCTGGGGAATTCTGGGAGTTGAAGTCCAGACATCTTCAAGTTGACAAGGTTGAGAAACACTGCACTATAACATTTTATGAAGCAGCAACAATCACTGTCCCTTGGCATGACTGCTGCAGTGCTACAGTTTTCACAATACTAGAGTTCCTGAGCAATAAATCAGGACCAGAGGTTCAGAAGGCAGTGATTCAGACCAGGGTTAGCTTTTCTGTGCCAGCTAATGAGATAGCAAACTAAGCCTGCCAATTTGGTTTTATGAGACTTCGGCAAAACTATTAAGAGAGATTATTTTTAGGTACATAATAATCTTCCAATCTGAACCATTTGTCCCAGGAGTGAAGTTTTCTCTGGACTAGTTCTTAATGAGAAAAATATGAAGTTCTGTAGTAGTAAACTTAGTTTGTTTTTATATCAATGCAATCATACTGAAAGTACCAAGAGATTTCATATTTTGCTTACTAAGAATGTCATTATGAGGCAAAATCATGCTACTACTAGCAAGCTACCAATCGTTTAATAAAGCATGCGCTAATTGACAGCTCACTGTGGACCGGAGTCTATGAGTTTTATTGTTTATCTGTGTTTGTCATAGAGTCTGATTTATTTATAATCTAAATCATCAAAGTGGTTTAGGCCTTTGAGAAACAGGCATATAGTTATTTTTTTTCCTTTATTATCCAGATATGATTGTTTTTGCCAATTACATTATTTTTAGACTGGAACAGCGACGACTGAACATCGTATAAATATTCAGTTATTACCATACACATTTTGGAATATTCTCAATTATTTAAAAAATATTTTTTATCATCCAACTCATTCAGTGTAAAAGAATTAGGCTTCTTATAAATTTCCTTTATGTTCCAAAAATCAGTAAATTGTAAATTAAAATTCCTGCCATTTCTTATTAACAATCCAAATAAGCAACAAATACCGGTAAATGATACAATCTTATATATTGCAATTTGGGTTAATTTACAAGCAACATAAGCATTTTCTCTGAAACTTAAATGGAGTCTAAAAAGCACCTGGCTTCCTTAATTTGGATGCTAATTGATCAAATATAAGAAAAAAACAGATAGTGTATTACCTAATAGAGAACTTTAAATATTTTGAACTGAATTATGTGGCAAATCAGTAACCAGTGAATGTATTATTAGAGTTGCATAGGTAAATCTGCTTTTTGGGACCATTAGAATTTCCAAGTCATCTTCAACCCTGTGTTGAGTGTATTGCAGTAGTTTAGACATAAGATAGCATGATTAGCTGTCATGATTTTTAATAAAAAAGATACCTATAACTGGACACCAATTGAAACTGAATTGGCAAGGAAAAGAAATATTTTTTTTGGGGGGGGGGAGTCTTGAGAGTGGGTCACAGCCAAAAGTCAAAATAGTTATGTGGTATGACAATAATATTCAAGAGGTTCTTGGATTTGGTGATGTGTTTTTATTAAAAATCATGACAGCTAATCATGCTATCTTATGTCTAAACTACTGCAATACACTCAACACAGGGTTGAAGATGACTTGGAAATTCTAATGGTCCCAAAA